GACACTAAGGTGCATTATCGCACAAAGGGTTGGTCATAATTGACCGAGTTTTCTGTTGGGTAGAGCAATGTGAAGTGGGAGCCGCTGATAGAATCTCATAAAGACACTGCTGCACATCAAGTTAGGCTTTATTAAGTAAATTGCCACTGTTCTTGACAAGGAGTCAGCAATATTTCAGTACCTCTGAAATTTTTTTTCCAAAGCTGTCCAAGGCTAAGGTTAGGGGTGGTGTATTCGTTGGACCACAGATTAAGACAATCATAAACTGTGAGGATTTTGCAAAGCTGTTGAACAGGACGGAGAAAACAGCTTGAAGCAGTTTCGTTGCAGTTGTTCAGGGCTTCTTTGGTAATCACAAAGCTGAAAACTATGTGGAGATGTTGTAGACTCTCATAAAGAATTACGTCAAAATGGGATGCAAAATGTCTTTGAAAATCTATATTCTTGATTCGCATCACAACAAATTCAAGGAGAACATGGGCGCTTACTTTAAGGAGCACGGCGAACTTGTGAAATTTTTATTTTTACCTGAACATAATGACAATCAAATGAAAAATGTCTTTTCTATTTTTACAAAAAACAATTTTTCTTTGTGCTGTTGTCGTGTAAGCAAAGTTTGCGATAAATGAAGTCATTTTTTCACATTTTTTAGATATCAATTGAAATATAACACTTAGCAGCTAGGAACAAAAATTGTGTTACATAGTGTAATCTATATTTATATCTAAGACATTTATAAGTATTTAATATAAATGTTTATATTAAAAAGTATGAAATATAAAAATATAAACAATAAATTGCATTTATTTCTCTTTGTTTCTCCATGCAACAGTCTTATTTGTTTGTTTTTTTTTTTAATTAATTGAACCATTATTCACTTGTGAAGAAAATCACAAAATATAAAAGGTGCTTAACTACTAAAAAACATAATTTAAAACTTTAATTTATCTCCCTTATTTTTCCTATACTTTGCTCTGGTAATCCAATTTGATCCAATAACACTTTCTCACCTCCTCAGTAATCATTCGTTATCAAATCACTTTCAGGTAAACATCAGCAAAGTAAACAGTAACAACTCATTCATTAAACATATTTTTGGTTGCAGCCTCTATTGGTTTTAAATAAAATTTCGAATATAGAATTATGTAATAAATAATGTTAATTCATAAAATACTATTAATTTAACTAATATCATTTGGCAAAGGTGCTATAGCTTGGATAGGAGCGATTTAATCATTGGTGAAACAAAAAATATTAAGGCAATATTTAAACAATTTTTGCCTATATATAATTCATGAACATAATGATGATTGTCATCATTATGTTCATGAATTATATAAAAACTGCGCAATAAGAACTTTTAACCAAAAATAATTTGTAATTTTTTCAAAAGTTTCACAAATAATATATTTTGAACTCTTACAATTTGAAATTCAAAATATTTTTTTTTTTTTAGTTACTTTAATTACTTTGCAAAATTAATAATGATATTATTGCTCCGTTGTGTCACTGCTCAATGGTGTCACTTCTCAGTAGTGTTACTGTTCAGTGGTGTCACTGCTCAGATTCAGGACCTTGAGCTATTGTGACAAATTTTTTATGCAAATTATTTTTAATAGTTGCTTCTTTTTATAGCTTAAAAAAGTTTTTTATAAGCCTACAACCGTAATCCTTAGACTATATCGTCAGTTCACGTCAGTCATTTTACATATATCATTTTACTTTAGCCGTAAAGTACATTTTGTAAAAATAAAAAAATAATAAATTATAAAAAATAAATAAAACTTTTCCAAAATTATTGCAAACCGATTGTTGCACTCGGCGCTGTAGAACTTATTTCAAATGTTATTTCAAATTCAATAGCGAATGAGTTATTTTCCAATGGTTTTGAACAACAAAAAAAAATAGCAAAGTATTTTATTTCTTTTACCACAATTGAAGGATCTTAAATCTTCAAGGAAATCTGAAAAATTATTCAAGAAGTTTTGGTTGATTTTTTCTTTCAATATTTGATTTAAGAGTGCAATAAAAAAGAGTGTGAAATAAAATTTAATGCGATGAGGCCTTGGGAAAAGTAGTATTATTCTACATAAATTTGAATAGTAAATTGTTTTTGCTTAAGTTTTATCTTTTTTCAGCAGATGACTCTTTTAGTTTGCATTAATTTAAAAGTGATTAAAATAACATCTTTTTTATTGGTAATTAGTTTTTTCACCTTAGCAACGGCATAGCAACGAAATACTAAGTCCTTATTTTACCTAATTTAAAAAGTCAAACTTATAAACCTTCTAAAGCTTTATATATATATATATATATATATATATATATATATATATATATATATATATATATATATATATATATATATATATATATATATATATATATATATATATATATATATATATATATATATATATATATATATATATATATATATATATATATATATATATATATATATATATATAGGTGTTTTTTGCTACGCTCTCAAGTCACACTTTCTTATAATAATTGTCATAATAAATATTTTTATGTTGGTTATGCTGTAATAACTTATTAATCTTCCATCTCAAAAAAGCAACAGTGCAACAAGAACTGCTCACCAATCTGCTTACCAACCTGCTCACTAACTTGATTTGTATGAGTATTGAAAATACCATCATAAAAAAAATAAGCTTTGATTTAAAAATAATTTCGTCAATAACTTTGCTAACCGTAAGGCTAGAAAAACACATTGATGGTTTATTTATAATACAATAACACTATTTAAATCTAACAATGCGACACTATTAATAGAGACAGTGTAACACTATGGTTGCATTCATTATATGTTTTATTTATTTATTTGATTTTACTGATAATAAATTTGTCAAACCAAATGATTCGATGAATTAACGCATCAGTTATGTTGAAAGACATAGAACCTCATGTTAAATTTTAGCTCGGACCCCAGCATAGGTCAATCCGGCCCTGTATAAATATATATATATATATACATATATATATATATATATATATATATATATATATATATATATATATATATATATATATATATATATATATATATATATATATATATATATATATATATATATATACATATATATAAATATGTATATATATTTATGTATTTACATAGCAAAATATTTAAATAATTAATTAATTAAATAGCACACCCTGTTAAAGAATTATGATTTTGTCTCTTTGCTATAAAAACCATAGATGTTCTTTGTATATACAGTTAAGAACTTTATTTGAGGTAAATTATTATTTAGTGGGGTATACTTTTGAGTCAACAACTGCTTGACAACAATTGTTTCCCAACGATATCTTCGGATATTGTATAGCAATTCGGAGCATTGTATAGCACTTCGGAGCATTGTATAGCAAAATATTGGATGAAATTCAAATAAATAAAAGATATATATATATATATATATATATATATATATATATATATATATATATATATATATATATATATATATATATATATATATATATATATATATATATATATACAGATTATATTTATTTAACTTATTTAATGTTAATTTAATGTTAATTTATATTATCTAAGTTTAAAATTAAATTTCTTCAACTCATTTTTAATTTATGTATAACATATTTCAATAAAATCAATATATATCAATTGCTTCAGCATCGATTCTAATTTCAATTTTATGCTGACTTATCATCTGAGAGATAAAAAGAAAGATAACGTATAAATAAAATCAGAGAAATTTGTATGTTTAAAAATAAATACTTTTTTAGAACATGACGTCATAACATGACGTCAGCACTTAAAAAAAACTTCTAAAGTTTTTTCGGTAAAATATTAGACTAAATGAAAAATATTGGCTTGTTGGAATTTATTAAACTTAGTCATTAAGTAAAAAGGTAACAAGTTTGGATGGATCTGACTTATCTCTGACTTATACTTGTTTTTAAAAAGGAAATTTAACGGTTACTTTGTAATGTAGACAATTTTTTTTCTCAGATATTTAACAAATTTTCTCAGATGTTTGACAAATTTTCTCAGATGTTTGACAAATTTCAATGTATTTTAATTACATCAACAAAATTCAATTTTATTAGTGTACTTAAATTAAAAAATAAGTTTGCAAAAGTAAAATTTTTGATTTTTGTTTTTTTAGAGAAATTAAAGTATTCAAATTTTAAAATTTTTTTATGGTTTCTAAAATAAATTAAAACTATTAAAATTTACTGAGTAATTTTTACACGCATTCACACACGTGGATACACACACATCTACAGACATGCATACATTTCCACAAGTACAAGATACACACACGCAAAATAAATTTAAATCAACATAGATTGAAATTGGGTTAAGTAGAGAGTCAACTGGAAAGTTTGAGATTAGAAAATTTGGTATGGTTTTATATTCATTCCTTGTAGAATTCTCGATTTTACATAATCTTTAACCATGAAATATGGCGTGATAGATAAAAGCCATCTTTTTTATGTTTTGGCTCTGTTTCACCTGCTGCATCTTCAAAAATCATCTTCAACACACAGAATTAAAGTTAGATACAAATTTTCTAATACTTATTTGATTGGAACAATTTATTTCAATTAATTGAACCTTCAATTAAAAAATTAAGCTTTTATGATTTTTAAAAGGTTTTAATAAGTTTTAATGATTGTACTTTTTTATCCTTTAGTAATTTTAAAGAATAGATGCGAGATTCCTTAGCACATGATGCCAAAATAAAAAATTATAAAAAAATTAATTTTTAAATACCTTAAATAAAACACTTTATTGTTTAGATAGATAGTTTCTAAATAAATATTGCACCTTTTAGTATTTTAAGTATTTTAACTATGTTAGTAGGTAAAAAATATTTTTTAAACTTTTGTTGCTAGGAGACAGTTGATTTTATTAAACTTTGTTATCAGACAGAAGAAAAACAGTAACAGTTTGTGTTTACATGTTTATTAAGTTCTTTTATAAACATTATTGTCGTGCCATATGACGTAAAATAACTTGTGGAACTTTTAAGTCAAGTGTTAATTTGTGAAAAAAGAATGTCTAATTTTTGCAACGTTTGCTGATTATTTTGCAGATTACGTTAGGCCTTTACAAAAATATTAAAACTAGTTACAACCTTGTATAAACTGAATTTCGGTAACACTTTATTTGTTTATTTTTTTTTTTTCTAATATCAACTTTTGACTGAGTTTTTTTATTTTCCCATGCCAGATTATCAAATTGATAGTTTACAAATCTGGTGAATTGAAACAATAGTGTTATATATATATATATATATATATATATATATATATATATATATATATATATATATATATATATATATATATATATATATATATATATATATATATATATATATATATATATATATATATATATATAAATTATTCAAAATTACTTTGTTTCATGTCACAAACATTAGTAAATAAATGTTTAAAATCCTAAAACTCAATTTTTCTTAAGTCTAACAAGTACTCGTAAAATTATTATTTAAATTAAAAAAAAATATTTTAGGCCAGCTTTAAAACTATTCCTGACCCAGTTTGCAACGGATTAGCGAATTTTATACTGTATTTTTATTAAAAGATAATTTATTTAAATATATACATTCTTATACAACTTTTTAAGTCATTAAAACAATATGTGTAATTAAAACCAACTAAGCTATTAATACTTTTACTATTATTGCTAAATATGTTACTCTTATTAGAAGAAATAAAAACAAAATATTATGAAACAAAATGATATTTTTGTCATCAAAGTCTTAAAGTTTCAGTTATCTACTTTTACTACTACAAATTTATTCTTACAAAACTATTTTTATAAATTTTTATGACAGTACATGGCCGTCCCTAAGAGATTTTAAAGAAAGGGGGGGGGGTAAGGCACCTGTTTTTTGCCGAGTAATGGCTTAAAATTTTTTTTTATATTTTAAGATCTATCTTAAACAGAAAAAAAAAGTTCCTCGTTGACTGACATTTGCCAACTGTCAACTATAAATCCAATTTTGCCGACAGTATAGTATTCGCATTTTTAATAAATTTTGTATATTTGTTTTATCTTTTAATTATTTCTTATTGTGTAATGATTTTTTATTTTAACTGTTTTATTGAAAAAAAATTTATTCAAATGTGTGAAACTAAATAAATAAATAATAATAATAGTTTGTAATAATAATTGTGCCTATCAATTAATTTGGTTCTTTGGAATGACAGAAAGAGTCAGAATTCAGAGTCAAAAAATATTAACATATTCTTTGCAAAAAAAAATTCCGTTTTATTGACGCGAGCAGTTATTGTTCAATTTCCTTGACGTCCATTCTAAGTAAAATTATAGGAAAAGTTATCAAAGCCAGTTTAATTCAACACTTAGTAAAAAATCATCTAGTTTCTATTAATCAACATATGTTGTAATAATTTTGTGAAAAGCAAAGCATGCTTGACTTGAAAGTATCATAAACAAACCCAGCCAACACAACTCAGAAAAAAGTTACTCTTGGTTTCTGTTACATGTTTAAAACTACAAAAAGACACATGCCAAGAATGGTTTTCATTCCGTGAAATTAACTTTTACTATTTACCAAATATACCAGTTAAGATATTAATGGTTTTATTGCGACGGAAACGTAATATTATATTATATTAAATTTCCGTAAGGAATGTGAAAAAACTGATAAAACCACGCAACATTTACATTTTATTTTAAAACCTCAAAAAACACGTGTTAAACTTGAGTAAAACTTCCCGTAATATACACCTGTTTTTGGTTTACGCCTAGATCTTTACAAACACATGTCTATATAGTTTTAATTCCGAAATAGAAACTAGATGTGCCGGTTGGGAAGAAACTATTTCGATTAGTGAAGCCGAAGATTCAAAATAATTGCAAATTTCTAATTTCTAATCTAATATATAATAACTCTCTGGAATCAATACGGTTTTCAATCATCTCGTTCTATTTGTCTTGTAAACTGTTATAACAGAAAGTTTTATATTGTAATTGATGATGTTATTGATAATGCAATTATGATGTAATTATGATGTAATTATGATGTACTTGTATTAATGATTGTGATAATCGTTCCTCTAAATTGTTTTTATTTGCTCTTAACACAACTAGAGTAAAAGTGCTGCAAACCGGACACTGAATAACTTTTTCAATATTGAGAATTTGTAGAATTTTTTTTTCTGGAATATAGTTTATTATTAAAGCAATTCTGTTGTCTAAAAAAAATTTAATTTCAAGTTTCTAAGGAAAATAAGATTTTATTTTTTTAAAAAGTGTCCGCTTTTCGGAAAATTGTCCCTAAAAGCGGACAGTTCCAAATTATATGAAAAAGCATAGATAAATTGACAAATTCAATATTTTTATTTTTATTGTTAAAATATACACATAATATATAATACAAGCAGAAAAAACTGCAAGCTTGAGCTTAAAAAAAAAATTATAAGCAGGTTTTGCAACTTTTCGTGCAAAAGAATACTTCACTTTTTATATATCTTTTTGGGAGACAAAGGTTCACAAAGCCACGAACTGCAACTAGATTTTTGGAAGACAAGGTTCACAAACCACCAACTGCAACTAGATTTTTGGGAGACAAGGTTCACAAAGCCACAAACTGCAACTCTGTTTTCCATAAAACTTGCATTTCTGGCTTTTTATTTAAGTTTTTGTTTCAGGTAATTAATACCTAGGTAAACTAGACAACCTAATAGTCTTTGGGTACAAATGTCTTTTTATAATTTTTTTTTTCACATTTCTATTTTTCTTGTTGTACTTTGTTTTTCCCATTAAATTTTGATCAAGAGTAGGAAAATAGCGGGCATGATAAAAAAAAGCAACTTTAACAGATGTTAATTTTGCAATGGATTGTGATTAAAGCTTCCATGAGAAGTCAGTTGTGAATAATGATCTGAGAAGACGAAGTAAAGAGTGTCGCCATTCATCAATATAGAAATATCTCTTTCCAAAGAGACATGGGAAAATTTTTTTAGACAAATTGCTAAAACCACTTTCAGCATAAAATTTTCTTAAAGTATCACGCCAAACATCTTTAACATGGCAAAATACACCAACATCTAGAGGCTGCAGAATGTGAGATGAATGGGCGGGAATGCAAATAAGTGCGGCCGTGGCCCAGTGGTTAGAGCGCCTGTTTTATAAGCAGGAGATCCAGGTTCGAAACGAGTTCGGGACATATTTTCGCGTCACGGTAAGGAAGGAGGCGTGAACTTCCTGGTTAAATGCACTTCCGCGGTGCTCTGTGACAAGGCTGTTAGATCTTCTTGGGGCACCTAAAAATTATAACAAAAAAAAAAGTGTTACATTGTTTTTTTTTACAATTTTAGGCTACACTTAATGACACGTGTGTACTGTGGCCATCCAAAAGTAAAATATGTTGCCGACCAAACTTTTTGAATATGAGGAATAAACATTTCATCGAGCCACTGCAAAAATTGATTACTTTCCATCCAACCAGATGGTGATGTTGTGTAAAGTGTGTTTGGTTGGGCTCCTTTAACTCAATCATTATTGAGTTGATTCTTTGATTTGTAAACAATAAAAGGCGGTAGAAGGAATCCATCAGCTTTAACACAATTGAGAACAGTGTAGCTTGTTTTTTCGTTTTCCAGTCAATACTAGTGGACGCTTTATTCTCTTCTGATAATTACTTTTGCATCGCCTTTATCACCATTAAAACCAGTTTCATCACAATTCCACAAATGCATGGCTTTACTAAAATTTTTGCTAATTAAAATTTGCCTATTTAAAATTGGTCATTTTTGCTAATTAAAAACGTTTTTTCAAAATAACAAAATAACGGGCAATAATTTCTAGAGTGCATGACCGTGCTCACAAAGATGTAATGTTTGTAGCTGTTCTTATGTACTCATAAATCCTTGTACCATTTACGACCACTCGTTCCATTTTTGAACAAACACGTTTCATCATTTTCAATTAAACAGTCTCTCACTAAACTTTGAACTTGGTCTATTCATCTACCAAAGCCCCAATCGCTAAACATATGAAAAAGGTAAACTAAGGTTAACTAGATAAAAGGACTCGATTTTACTGTATTGCCCTTACCAACTACTAAATTTTTATTTGATTTTTGGTCGGATAACGTTGATTTTGGTATGTAGTAGATTTGAGCTGCGCCTCAAGCTTAACTCGCCATTTTCAATCTTTATCAATCCGTTTTGTAATGCCTCCTCAGTGTAAGGCTTCTCACTTGTTTTATTTTTTTTCCATTATAAGTTTATTAAATTCAATTCAGTTACATATTTTTGAAATTGAAGGAGCAAAGCACTTTTGTGGTTACTTTGTGTACTTTTGCGCTTTAACTTCAACAAGTACAAAAGTACAAAACTAATTAACACGAAAGTGTGAAAACTTAAAAATCCCAAAAGAAAAAAAATCAGTCAGTGTAAAAAAATAATAAAATAAATTAACTTTAACATAATAAAAAATTCAATTAGAGTGAAAAATTAATAAACAGATTAACCTATGAACTTTTAATTGATTATAGGGTAAATTTATTGTGTCCGGTTTAAGATGAAAACTGAAGAAAATCTTATTTCCGTCATAACTTTTTAACGAAGTAAGATTATGAAATTCTAAACCTATTTTTGAAATTAGCAGAAAATTTCCCACAAATATGCTTCTTTTGTTTTTAAATTGCTTTTTTAATTTCCAAAAAAAAGTGTGAAAAATTTTATAATTTTCCACACACTAAAAAGTAAAAACTTTTTCAAAACTTGCAAATATCTTTTTTTTTTTGTGAAGGTATTTAGTTTTTTCGAAAAAGGTCAACAAAGATATTTATTATTGTTTAGACCAGGATGCCGATCTTTAATCTTTCTTTTGCAACAGCTTAGCGAATGCATCGGTTGTTGAATTTTAACCCAAACAAAATCTAACCCTAAAAATCAAACTTTTTTTTGGAAATTAGGTTCTTAGCATAAAAGATTTAAAAAAGCAATTTAAAAACAAAAGAAGCAATTTTGTTGGAAATTTTCTGCTAATTTCAAAAATAGGTTTAGAGTTTCATAATCTTACTTCGTTAAAAAGTTATGACGGAAATAAGATTTTCTTCAGTTTTCATCTTAAACTCACAAAGTTGATTATCTGAA